CCACATCGAGGGCAGGGCCGCCGCTCGCCTGAGCCACGGAGCAGTGAAGGGGTCCCAGGACGTGCGGAGGGGCAAAGGACCGCACCGCACAAGGCGATCGTGGAAACAGATCCTGTTGGCTCCGGGTCCTTTCAAGCTCTTTCCAAAGACAGAGAGGATCCCGGCCAGAGCTCCGCAGACACACGACTGACCCCACGACACTCGGCACCTGCGGCCCGGTGCTGCTCCCTCGGGCACCTGCCCGACTGGGCAAACCCAGTGGGGGAGGATTAGGTCCCAGCGCCCCCCTCCTCCCTCCAGCTGGGGACATAGAACTGAGACTGTGCGGGGAGGGTGCCCACCTGTCCCCAGAGGCACAGCCCAGCTGCGCTGCCCCGTGGCGGTGACCCGGAAGGTAAATCTGGGGGTGCCGTCCCCCATGGTCAGACAGCGGCCGACCAGGTGCACCCGCGTCCCGGGACCACATGGCCAACGCTGGTGGAGGACTTCCGGTCAGGCGAGCACGGCCTGGCCCATGCAGCCGTCACCCAGAAGGGGCGGGGGGAGGGCACCGCAGGGCGGGAAGGGGAAGGGGGCCGGGGGCGACGCTGGAGACCCAGTCCTGCGGGGGCTTCCCCCGTGAGCACAGGCGGCCGCGCTCCGGGGAGTCAGACTTGGGGGGGGGGGGCTGCCGTGTAAGACCCGGGGCCTCGGCCCCAGCGGGGCCTGAGGGGGGAGCACGGGAACGTCGCCTGAGCAGGAACGTCGCCCAGGCCGCTTCTCGGGACCGGCTGCCCAGGAAGGAGCCCCAAGGGGCGGGGCAGGTCCTACATCCCCCCCCCCCCCAGGGGCAGACACACGCCCTGCCACACCCAAGGGCCGGCAACACCCTCGGCAGCTGTGTGGGTTAAACACACAGCGAGAGGCTTCGGCAGAGAGAGGACACGGAAAGGACAGGCGGGGACGTGGACTGCCGGGCGGGGATGGGGACCGGGGTGGGGACGCCCCCTGACCGTGTAGGAGCTGGTCATCTGGGGGAGCAGCCTGGCAGAGGAGCCCCCCACCGCCACGGCCGGGGGTCACTGTGCCCCGGGAAGGGAGCGGTAAGAGGCCCGATGGCCCGCAGCGCGTGAGCCCCGGGAGAAGGCCGCGCCCCTGGCCCCAGGACACGGGCGGACGCGGGGTGACGGGGAGGGGTGCCCTGGCCCCGCAGGGCCCCAGCCTTACCTTCCACAGCCCCACCAGCAGCCCCGGGTCCAGGCGGAAGAGCCGGACGAAGCGGTCGCAGCCGAGCACGGCCGAGTCCGTCACGTCGCGCAGACTGTACCTGGCCACCAGGGAGCGCCACCGAGGCCTTCGCCGCGCGTGTGGAGGGGAGGAAAGAGAGCAGTGTCACGGGAGGGTATCTGAGCACGCTCCGGACGGGCGTGCTGGTGACGCGCACCTGCTAATACCTGTCTCGTACTGGGGCCACACCCACTGCCCGCCTGCGTGGCTTCCCCTTGGAATGCGGGGGGGGAGGGGGAAGGGCCCCTCTGCTCGCCTCCGAGCACACCCAGCCCACGGCCGCGGCCCACGAGGACTCCCAGTGCGTGTTCCCAGTGAGCGAGTCGAGTGCACGCAACGATAAAGCGCTTGGGGACAAGGCCGCGGTCTCAGCGGGCTCGCCGTCAGCAGGTGCGCCTTCCCGAGCGACCGTCAGCCTCACCCCAGCAGTGCACACGGGAACGTCAGAGGGTAAACCTAGACCAAACCGTGCTTTCCACTGTGCACTGCACCAGGATCAGTGCGAAGCGGAACGAGCTCAGGTGTGTAAGGAAACACACGTCGACTCCGCCCACTCCTCATCAGCCTCACGCCTGAAGTGTGAGACGCCCCCTCACCCCATTGTGCTGGGCGGAGACACCTGGCCGGCCCAGGACCCAGGGAGGGTTCACGAGACCACCAGGGAGCCATCTCAGGGGCTGCGCGGGGCAGCCCAGGCTGGCGCCGAGGCCGCGCGGCACCCAGGGACCTGCAGAGCCAGCCGAGGTGCTCCCTGGGGCAGCCGCAGGCTGAGTCTGCGGGGCCCCAGCCCGGCCCCGGGGCTGCCAGGCCCCGCTGGCCCCTCCGCCGCTTCTCAGAGAAGGTTCGTGCCGAGACCCCGGCCAGGGGCAGGCGTGCGGGCAGCACGGGCCAGCCCCCACACACGCGCTGGCCCCACGAGCGCGGACACGGGAGGTGAGGCGGAAACGCACCCGTCGCTCTCGCACGCCTGGGCTGCTGCAGCGCGCGTGGCCGAGCGGGCAGCTTTGGGACACAGGCGACGATTCAGCGAGTCCGACCAGAAAGGCCCAAACTACAGGGACACTCAGACGGCAAGTCACATAATTGCGGCTCTCCGGTCCCTGAGAGACAGTTCCCGAGGAGGAAACAAGGAAGACGCCAACGACAGTGACCGAGTGTCTCCTGCGCTGCCCCCCGCTGCCCGCGGGACGTGCGCCCTTCCCAGGGCCCAGCAGGGCAGACCGGGCGCTCCCTCGCCACGGGCTGTGGGGGGCCGGCCGGGGTCCACCCAGTGACCCTCCCCAGGGGATGCCCGCCTCGCTGTCCCTGCGCTGCGCCAACCGTTCCCGACCCGGTGACAGCTTCCGGGCCCACCACTTGCAGCCAGTCCCTCACGGCCGTGTTCACGGGCGCTAACTGTGCCGTCCTCGTACTATAAACCGGGGAGCCGAACTCACGTTCCCCGGCGGCCACATCAGCCTGGAGGCTGCCCACGGAGGGCCGGACTGTAACTTGAGGGCTGTGCACACACGTAACTGCTCCTCGACAGCCGCGGCCGGCTGAAACAAGGCGGAGGGCCTGACTCGGCCCGTGGGCCCTGTGTTTGCCGCCTGCGCTCTAAACAGTGCCCCACGATATGCGAAGCAGCGCCCTGTGGGCCAGGCCGGTGGAGAGGGTGTGGACCCCTCCCCAGGCAGTCCCAGAGGCCAGAGGGCACCGGCGCCGAGTGCCCACCCAGTGCAGCTGCCGCTCAGACAAGCCGTGGTGCCGCCCAGACACCTTCAGGGGTGCAGCCGGGGGGAAGGGCCCCGTGCACGGGGGCTGTGTTTCCACAGTGGGAAGCCCAGTGCTCACACACACAGCCCAGCCGGGTCCCGGACACAACCCTCGAAGAGCCAGCGTCACGGACGGGGGCCGAAACATGCAGCCCCGGGAACGCAGTCGCAAAACCGTGCGTGACCGTGCCCAGGGAAGCCACGGAAGAACGTCACCCCTCCGCAGAGACGGCAGGCCCCAGGGGGGCCCCCTCAATCCCTCCCGCACAAGCACAGGTGTCAGAGAAGCCGGTGGGACCACAGCACGCAGGGGAAGGACGATGACGTGGCAATGTCACCCCACGACAGAGGACACGGAGACAGAAGAGGAGGAGGTTGCAGCAGCCGCAGCAGAGCAGCCGTGGGGGAGGCGGCTGGTAGCTCTGCGTGGCCGTGGACTCTGTGCAGAGACGTGGCCACCTGCGTGGGAGTCAGGACACTCCTACACACGGCACAGCCCCGCCCCCGGGAAGGAAGGGCGAAGGGTCAGGGGTCAGAAGAGGGAGCACGAGAGACGCTGGAAACGACGAGCCGTGAACCCTACGCCGCGTGCGGGCTGGGCCGCAGCCGCCCCAGCAGAGCCGTGAGCCCTCCGGCGGCATCAGCCTCGTGCTGCACACGTGTCTGAGCTGCGCCTTTGAGGGGGTCAGCGTGGGACCCCGCAGCTCCGCCGGCTAAAGACACCGTCGTCCCCGCCACCCCGCCTCCCCGAGGGGAGAACACGGCACGGAGCGAGTGCCGCCAGCCAGACGAGCCCGTGAAAACTGATGGTGATTCTGACTTTACGGTCCGACGCTTGCACTGACTACTACACCATTTACTAAAGGAAACCTTAATGCTTTTCTATATATCTTGTTGTTAAAACGACTAAAACTGAAATCCTCACAAGGCTCGCTGTCCGCCGCCCAGGGGATTCCGTTACTGAGAATGCCACCCCCTGCCCGGCACAGACGCCGAGACGAGGGGAACCTAGACTGGGACCTGACCACCCATGGGCTGTGCCCGTCCTTCTCCCACCCTGTAGCAACCCAGGATGAGAGAGGGAGGGGGAGAGGTCTTCACGATGCAATCGAGCTGAAAACGCTGGCGGTGTTTCCGAACTACAGAGTAACGCCGCCTGGTGCCCGCTTACAAGACGCCCTCCCCCGAAGGCCCCGCCGAACCCGTGCTCACCCGTGCTTGGCGGGGGGCTTGGGCCAGTCGGCGAACACCGGCACCACGCCGCACAGGTCCAGGGCGGCCAGCGCGGCCAGAGGGGGCCAGGCCTTGCCGTGCCAGGCGACCGTGACGGAGGAGTCGTTGAGGAAGAGGTCCGCGTGCTCCAGGACGTGCTCCCTGCCGCTCGTCTCGCGCAGGACGACCACCCAGCCCACGCCGGACACCCTGCGGCGGGAGAGGCGGGCGGGGGTGTTCGCCCCGCAGGAAAGAAAAAAAAAATGCTGACGTCTGTCTCCTGTATCATCGCTAAAGCAGCTAGCCAGCTCCTCACCCCCAAGGTCAAGGTTCTGGGAGCGGGACGTGCCTGCGGCGAGCGTGTGTTGCCCCTACAGCCCTCCCCTGAGACCCTCTCTCCCCCCACTAGCGAGCATCTCCGTGTTCTCAGCAAGGGCAGCACACGGAGAAGTTGAAAAACAAAAAGTTCTGCCCGAGGGAACCGCCTCGAATGCCCCTGCTCCACAGAGCACAGCACTGGGCGACTGCTGCTGCTTGTTAAAGCCGGGCACCCCTCGTCGGGAGTGGAAGATGCGAGCCGTCTTACGGACGCACAGAAACGCAGGCATGGAAAGACAGCCCCCCACACACACACACGGCCGCCTGAGCTCACACCTCACTCTGCTCTGCAGGCCCGCAGTCCCCGCAGACGGCGGCGTACCTGAGGGCCTCCTTGGTTTTCTCGGGGAGGCCCGTGTACAGGTTGACGGGTTTCAGGACCTGCGCCAGAGCCGCCCTCAGGGAGGCCATGCGCTTGGCGATGCACTGTCTCTTCCAGTAGCCGGCTTCCCTGTCCTCCACGGACAGCAGGCTCACGGACTCCGCCGCCTTCCGCCCCGGGTCGGCGCTCCAGTTGTATCTTTTAGGGGAAAAGGCAGATGAGTAGATCCTGATCCAAACAACACTAGGGGAGAGAAAACAGTGACCAGGCTGAGAGACGCCGTCGCGCACCGGTGGCCGCAACAGGTTACTGCGGAGGCGCAGAGCGCCTGGGCCAGCACGCCGCCCTCCCGGCCAGCGCTCCCCTCGGGAAGGGAGGTCAGCTTCTCTCGGGGGAAACGGAGGCGGGGGTTAAAATCTATGCCCTGATATAAAAGGTGGCGTTCACGCTGGTACATGCAACTGTTTGCTCGTCTGTGTCTCCACATCCCGTCCAGTGCGGAAAGGGATGGGACGACCCGCGGGGCGACCCGAGAGGCAGCGAGCAGAGGGCAGTCCCCCTGCAGACAGGAGCCCCGGACCGCAGGGGGTCGGCAGGAGGCCGGGGAGCCAGGAGGGGAGGACCGTGCAGGCCACGCAGCGCCCACCACAGCAGACGTGCACACTCGCCCCCACCCCCTCACCCCCATCTGGGCATCACACGCAGCCAGACCCTCTGGTGCCTCTCTCTGCTCCCTAGCAGGGCTTCTCGGCGACTTCGCCACGAAGTCAGTCCACACCAAGCCGGCTGCCTTTGGGAGGCTGTGTGCTCAGCTCAGAAGTCTGCCCCACTGTGTGCCCACCCGGGGCCCTCGAGAGCTGCAGGAGAGTCTGTCCCACTGTGTGCCTGCCCGGGCCCTCACAGGCTGCAGGAACATCTGCCCCACTGTGTGCCCGCCCAGGCCCTCACGGGCTGCAGGAGAGTCTGCCCCACTGTGTGCCCGCCCTGGCCCTCACGGGCTGCAGGAGAGTCTGCCCCACTGTGTGCCCGCCCAGGCCCTCATGGGCTGCAGGAGAGTCTGCCCCACTGTGTGCCTGCCCTGGCCCTCACAGGCTGCAGGAGAGTCTGCCCCACTGTGTGCCCGCCCGGGCCCTCACGGGCTGCAGGAACGGCCAGGCCAGGCCGTGGCGAGGACAGGCAGGGTGCAGCCCGCCTACGCCTCCAGCGACGGCCGCCATGCCTACACTTGCATGTGGGGCCACCGTCACACGCCACCTTACGGTCACCGTAAGAGCGGCCTGAAGGGAACAAAAACCTCTTGCAGAACTGAAGTACTGTGGTGTAGACTGTGGCCTGTGATTATTTATAAAATACAACTGTCAAGTCTAAGGTGCTTTCATCAGTCTCCAGCACCCCGCACACCCGCCTCTGGATCACCCAGGCTCCGCCCTGTTCCAACGCTAAGATGGATTCGAGGACGAGAGCTTGTGCATCTGACCCGACTACCGGTCAGGCGCCTGTTGCTCAGGAAACAGGGCTGACATTATGGTCTGACCCACCGCGCTTCCCGGAGCTCTGGAAGACGCCCCCGTGACCGGGCGAGGCGGCCTGCTGCCTGCCCCGGCGACCACGGGCAAGCAGTGCTCGCGCCGAGGCCTCTTGGCACGGCAGGGGGGCGGCCTCACCGAGGTGACGGCCCAGAGAACACCTTCAAACGTGGCCCCTGAAAGTCATCAGCGTCACTAGCCACGTTACAGGCTACTGTCCTCTCTTCAGAAGCATGCTTAGAACACACCCTTAACTTTCCAAAACACGTATGTCTATCCATCCAGTTATTAGTGCACCCTCTTCATGGAGACAAAGACACTTATAAATACAACCGGACATGGTTCTTATCCTTTGGAAGAGAAAAGAACCATGCGGGTGATTTCATCAGGAGCTCGGACGTGTAAAGGACGACTTCCAGGAAAGCGGGCGGGACCCGGCCCGACCCTGACAGCGACGCCGGGCTCCCTCCTTACTTGTCGTTGGCCAGGTGATAGAGGCGCCTGTTCACGCATCCCACGCACAGCAGGGCGGCCGCATCCAAGTAGGACAGGATCTTCAGCAAGATTTCTGCAGGCATGCTGGGGGGGCGGGGGGGGGGGTGAGCTCAGAGCAGCGGGCAGGTGTCGCACCCGGACACCGCTGCCGTCCTCCCCGCAGAGAAGGCCGGAACATACTGCCCCACCCCCGCCCGCAGGCCACCCGCCATCTGCTGTGTCCCCGGGGTGTGTACCTCGACGATGCTCAGGACACACGCCAGCACCGAGACCGGCTGCAGGGGGCTGCCCTCGCTCCTGGGCCCTCCCACCCTGAGCCGGCAGGCGGGCTCCACCCACCCACCACCGAGGCAGGAGTGTGGTTTGGGGAGACGAGTGGAAATGAGAGACAGGTGCCTACTTGGCTGTCACTGGGCAAAACACAGAATCCCCGCCCCTCAAAAACGGGGAGAAACCACCCTCCGTGGAACAGGAAACACCGACGCACCGCCACCCGTGCCCGGCACTCTGAGCCCCATCCCGGGCCTGTCCTCGGCTCTGCTGCTCCTCCGAGCCTCCAGGGAACACCAGGCCCCATCGGGGTGGCTCGGGGGTCTTTCTCTTCCTCACTTATGCGCCCCGTAAGTGTGACGCTGAGAGGCACTCTCCATATCCCGTGGGTTTCTATGGCCTTAGAGTCCTACAAAACCCCGCAATAACCCGGCGCTGCCCAGAACACACTGCCCGGGGGCGGGGGGCATCGGGAGCGCGCCCCGAACTTGGGGCAGCAGGCCACAGAAGGCGGCCGTGGGCGACGGTGCCCGGCGGGGGAGGGGAGCGCCGGACACAGGGTGGCGGGAACCAACCCTCCCACTTGCCCACACTCTCTAATTGGGGTTTTAGACGGTGACGTGAGCCGGGTAGGAAAGGCCTCTGATGCCTCATGGCAAAGCTGCAAGAAACACATGTTTGTGACAATTTGGGTTATCCGTTGAATGTGGTTCTTTTATATTTTGATTCAACTATTTCCCAATTCGTGATTATTTTTTAAATCAGTGTAATTTTTTTAATGTGGAGTTGAACTTAGAGAAAACACTTCGGGAGCGCACCCGGCAACTGCAACAGTCACTTAATTGGAACAGGACCCCGCTGAAGGAGGGCGTCGGACGGGCTCGCCCCCAAAACCCCCAAAGCTACGGAACTCAGAGACGCCCCGAACACTTAGGAGAGGACACTTTAATCTTCTCCATCTTCACACGTCTATCTCAGCAGGAAAGTGAATCATTTTAAAGAACTTTTTAAAAGGGGGAAATTAAATCGACTTATCACTTTTAGACGTTGAGCTTCATAAAATTAGTCTAATAATGACGGTGGTGACAGCTGGTGACTCACACCCAGCTCCCCGAGTTGTGCGCGCTTCCTACACGATGCTATTGTGGGAGCGCTCCAAATAGCAGCCCGGGGCGTGTGGCGGTGTGACTGCCTCTAACACCCGCGCCCCGGAAGCCTCCCGGGGAAGCGGCCGGCGACCCACGCCCCTTACCTGTCCAGCCACGCGGGGCAGTGCGGGCAGGGCCTCCCCCAGGGCCCGTCACCCGGGGCGGGCTGCTTCCCGGGCGTACGGAAGGCAGCGGCCCGGGCGTCTGGCCCCCTCCTGGAAGGAAACACGGAAAACTCAAGTTACCACAACGGAAGGGGCACCGTCCGTTCCCCAAGACCACGTTTCAAGGCATTCGCGGACTCCAACGACGGCGCGCTGTGGAACCTCGCCTGGCAGAGACAGGAGGAGAGGGCGGGTGGGCCGGCCTGGGCAGCGGCTGCGGCCTGGAACCAGGGCTCGCCACCCGGGGCTCGCAGGCTGCCGTTCCCACCCACTCTGCTCACGGGCCGTCGGCATCGAACGGGCTCGGTGACACGGACGTAATGGACACAAGAAGGACGAAGACAAAACGTACTCACCATCTCATCTCAATAACACAACAACAAAACCTAACAGAAAATACCATCAGCAGAGTGGAAAAACCTCTTAGACCTGTGAGCCAGAACTGCCAGCAGGACCCACGACTCTGCTGACCGTCGAGGGGCGGTGGCCGGTTCCGGCCCCAGCTTCGGGGGTCCCAGCCCCAGAGGCACCACTCGCTCGCCCACCAATGTGTTCAGACCTTCACCCCCCATGTTCAGTGAAACTGAACTACCGCTGTGGTTAAGCAAACATAAATACGTTTAAAAGCATTACTACATTGATAATAATGTCCTGCTGTTATGTATTTCTTCAGTCCAAAGGTGCCAAAAAAAAATAAAAACTATTACCTCAGGCCTCTCCAAGGGAACTGAAGAAAAGTAAATCGACACACTCTATCGGTCGGTTTCAATCTGGCAAATTAGCGGAGACAAATGCACGGAGAGGGACGGCGCTGGCTGTGGGGGGGGAGGGGCAAACAGGTGCACCCACTCTCCGCCAGACCGGGAGCAGCTGCGCACGGCACGCAAGGCCAAACCCAGAAGCGCGGGCAAGACCCTGAGAGGCACACACATATCTCTGGGAATATCTCCTACGGTGAAAAAATGTTCCCTGTGACTTCACTCAAGAACGTCTGTCTCAGAGCTGTCTGCTGGGAATAAATTCTAGACACAGCACGGGGGCTGGCTGGCGGGCATGGCGTCCGCAGGGGCAGGGCTCACCGGCCATCACGGGGCCCGTGTGGGCTGGAGGCCGAGAGCGCCCGGGCCCCTCCCTCCGGACTGGCCTCCCCGGACGGTCTTCTAGGGTCTCGCTGTGTTGTCCGGCCTATCAGCAGACTTCAGGACCGCCGCAAGCCCCTCCGCACTTCTCCGTAGAATGACCGCCCGCCCACGCCCGGGGACCAGAGTTCGCGGGTCAGGAGGGTGTGCGCACGTGCCCACACAGACCTTTCTCTCCACCAAGTTCAGCGCACACTTAGCTGACCTGGTCGGTACCAGGATGTTTGGTTCAAAAACACTGTTTCACGTCACAGTTCTTTGCCTGACAGCTTTGGATGAGTTCCGTATTTTTAAAAAATCTACCTCCTGGGCCTCATTTTTAATGCCAAGAATTTAGACCAACTTGTAGAAAGTATAAATTAAGCCAACTTGATGTGTTTTCTACTACATTCCTTACAGGTGATGTTATCTACCTATATATTCACATTCTGTGTTTAAAAGGGGAACTTCTGATTCCTTATTGAACTCTGATGTTCCTGCTTTCACACATTTAAAGTAACTGCCTACGTAGACCATAATCAATCGTTCCTTGCACCTGACCTTTCTCTACCAAAAAGAACGCATACGTCACCGAATCACAGGTGGACATGCGGGCTCCCCGGCTGGGAAGAATGACAGGCACTCTGACTGAAGCACCGCACCAGGGAGTCCGGTCACCTTACAAAGTAATGGAAGATTTGTCATCTAAAAGTCATTCTGCTGCCCACTAACAGAGCGCTACACATAAAGACTAATTTTAGTAATAGTGACAAAAGATTTAAAGTCCAAGCTTCCTATTTAAATGCCAGTCTTTCTCTCCCACTGAAAAGGAATTTTTGCAGGCACTGTCACCCTGTCACTTGTCACAAGGCTTGCGGGAGGTGCAATATGTCTAGCACTACAAATATTCACTCAGGAACTATTACCAAAACACTAAGGGACAGCATCCTGCTTCGGAAACCAGGGTGAGGTGCTGGAACCCTAGGGTGGACCCAGGACGCACAGTCCTGGAGATTCAGGAAAACAGAAAATGACAAGTAGTTGAATCAGTAAGTAGCATCACCCTTTTTTAATGCTTTCGCGCAGACAGTGATGTATCAGAAGGCACAATATGCATGAGTTTCTGTATCTGTAAATCAAGAAGGCTTTTACAAACAGAAGGATAATCCTTAAGAACGCAAATTGTCCTTAGTATTATCCCTCTACCTGGTAAACGGACTGGAATGATGGATACACAGCTAGGAACGCTCGCGATAAAACGGAAGGATTCCATAAGGCACCACGACAGCATGGGGATACTTCTGACATCCTGGATCACTGCGTTGGGAAAAGAGCCATCATCCCTGGGCGTTAACCGCATGGTCTGGAAGCAGCTGCAGCCTCCTGTCCCTGCCCCATGCCCCTTTCTCCATTTTACTCCTCCAAGCTGCCTTCTCTCACTGTGGAAGAGGACGACCCTTCAGTGGAGAATGGAGGGAAAACCGGCAGAACAGGGTTAGGAGCAGGGCCCCACAGGGCGACCACCCAGAGGCATCCCTCAGGGTTAGGGACCGAAGACTTGGCCTGGAGTCGGACATGCAGAAAGTGCTGCCCAGCAGGGGGCGCTCCCGGGCCCACCTGCCGGCCGGAGGAAGCTGCTCAGGGCCCCGCGTCCTCCACTCGCGGACCGTGGGCGGGACAGAAAATCGTAACGTTTCTACTTCTCCAAGTTAGAAGGTCACAAAAAGACGAAAAGGGTCTCCTGGCCTCAGAACCAGGAAGAACTTCGAGGATGCATTGCGGAGTTGTGCCCTTTAGGACACAACTCGCAGGTGGAGACCGGTGTGGCGCACCTGTCTGGGCAGGTGCAGCTCATTCGCGCGGAGGGTCCCCGCGAGGCGCTGCTCGGAGGTTGGGAAGCTTCCCACGTTCGGGACCGCACAGTGCCTACAACTGACCTAACGGAATGAGAAGAAGGTCTCCTGGGGGCCACTCGACTTGTACCCTGACTTGAGGGGGCCCCACGCTTCCAAGTTGAAGATACTTCCTCCCGCCATTCTTCCAGACCTTTCCCGCACTGACAGGAGCCGCCGGCAACGCGCCAGAGAGGGGCCAATGGACAGAAAGGGGAAAGGGCGGCAGGGCTGCGGGAGAGGGGGACCGTCACCTGAACCTGTCGCTCCCCGGGGCCGCGCCGACGCCCCCGAGGGGCAGGCGCAGGGCCTGGAGGCCGAGCCATTGCTGCTGCAGAAGCCGACCGCGTCTGGTCGCCATGGAGACCCGGGCGGAACGTGTGGGCGGTGCGACCCGAGGAAGGTAAAGAGCACCGCCCCCGCCACGCCCACCCGACGTCGGTGCCCTCCCCGACACGCGTGCGCAGAAGCGCCTTTCCGTCGGCTCTACCAGAGACTTCTAGAGATTTCCGAGCGCGCGGGGTTTGTAACTCCGTGTTGCTATTGTGGCTGCTTCCTTCCATCCTACGTGCAGACTCCTTCGTTGTGCACGCTACTTTCTGTCCCTTTTTTTAGAGAGAACGTGAAATGCAAAGGTTACGTCATTTGCCCAGAAGGGAGGGCAGAGACACAGACCAGGGAATTTTCAGTTTACACAGCCCTCTATAAAGGGTCGCAAGAACACGCAGTTTGCAATTGTTAATTTGACTTTGCTGAGTCAGAATACGACGGTCCAAACACGCGAACCCTGACAAAACTAACTTCATGCAGCGCATGCGTAGGCGGCCCGCGCAGGGTCGTCTGGGAAACGCAGAGAGGGCGGAGTGGAGTGTGGCAGCCTTGCACTCTGGGAGATGTAGTCCTTGACTCTTCCTCGCTACAGCAACTCAGAGAAGAGTGAGGTTCTCAAACTACTAGTCCCAGGATTCCTAGGGATTTCCCAGGGTACTTTGTAAAGGCATGGCGGGGAGAGTGTGAATGTCAACATAGAAGGTAATCAGAACACTTGAATTCAACCAAAAAGAGGACCAAAGAGAAGGGGCGGCGGACAGCAACTCCTTTCGGGAGACCTTTCGTCTTAAAAACTCTGCCGGAGCTCACGTTTCTGTCGAGCACGCCGTGCAGCCTTACCGGCGTGTATGTGTGCCCTGGATCACGGTCCGGCTGGGCGTGGAGGGGCCGGTGAGGCTTTGCTGGTCGCGGTTGGCCTCTTCCCTAAGTGGAGCGGGTTTCTGTGAAAATGATTTGTTTTTTTCTACGAGCTGTGCAGTATACGGAGAGGCTGCACAGGTCCTCGGGGAAGCGCCTGCTTTTGCCACGCGTCGTCCTTAGTAAAGCTTGCCTGAAGACCGAACCCCGAGGGAGATGGGGGCCGCCCGAGCGGAGAACGGTGCGGCCCGGATGTCCCCTCGGAGTCCCCCGGAGGACCGTGTGGACGCAGGGACGAGGTCTCCAGAGAGCAAAGGAGGACGGCAGCAAGCAAGTGTCCGTGCACAGTCAGAGGGCGGAGACCGCCGTGTCGACGGCACAGAAAGGTAAAGGGGAATTCTCCAGTCGGGACCAGCCTTTCAGCAAGTGTGACAAGAGGTGCCCGTGTGCTTCCAGAGCAGGGCGGCGCCAAGGAAGCCGAGTCAGTTCACACAATTAAAAGGCGGAACCGCTAAACATAGCTTAACATCAGAGACTACAGGCCTGCAATATCCTTCATACGTTTCAACTCAAATTTGAAAGATGAATTGTGTCTAGAAAATTGTTCTCAACTTCCACTAGTTTGGTGTGGAGAGAGCTGCATAAAACTGAGCCATTGTTTAATACTTGAAAATAGACAATAGGTCGCCCCGGTGTTGTTTCATGCATTTGACTCTCGCGTTCTCTCAGTCTGTCAAACGTTAGTATTCTAAGGTAGGAGGCACACTCCCCCAATTTCACGCAACTGAAAACTAAATGCAGATGTCCCTAATTCCCGTGTTCCGATATCCAGGCCAGTGCCGTTTGGGACCATGTGCAAGGGTTTCGTAAACTTCCGTCTTGTCTATGCCCAGCACTTGAACGGTTGCTGGTGGCTGTGCCAAAGGCACCCTGAAGCGCCAAGAGTCTCCCACTGAAGTGGGAGGAGGGTGCGGAGTGCGAAACAAGCGGTGGAAAGAGACCAGTGGCGCTACAGAGAAAGGGGACTAGGGAGACCGTGGTCCGGAGTAGCCGGCTGGAATAAATAAAAGAGAGAAGTCACTGAGTCACAGTCCATAGGGATTGACTCACGGAGTTCAGCTCAGCAAACACTTAGCTTGAGAGGCTGCTGCGCGCTCAGTTACTGAGTTGCTGGCGACACGCGCAGAGTTGGGGGTGTCCGAAACAGCTCCTCCCTTCCGATGACCCGGCAGTGATAGGACGTATAAAATAGGAAAGGTGAAATGTCATTTCGTCAGGGAAGGTCGGCAAAGCTTTCACAAGCGACATAAGCAAGCATTTTGGTTTTTAGGTTTTTTCTTCATTTCACAAATAATGTGAAGAAAAAATAAGTAAAAAGGAAGCAAAGAAAGCAATGCAGACACCCATGAGTGTATCACAATGATGTCTACGTTAGTACTTGGTTTCTGTCATTTCCGTGCATGTACTTTTTAACACAAATAATTGAGTTGTTTCGTACCAGTTGTTTTTGCCGTCAGCTGAACATGTCAGAAATACAGTGCAGCGTCTCACTCACGCAGCCTAATTAAAGTCGAGCATGAGGGAGCAGCCCGTGCACAGAGGTCAGAGGTGCCAAGGTGGCAGGCCACGTGGCTGCAGCAGCAGCACAGGGCACAGCGCAGGTCCCAGCGCAGGCAGGCCTGCTGCAGAGCCCCGTCTGGCCGGGACCCCGCCCAAGGTGCACGGTGGGAGCAGGATCCCCACACGCGGGCACGCTGCCTCCAGCGCCCCGAGGGGCCCACCAGGCACGGTGGGAGGACAGACAGGATGCAGTCGTCTGTCTGTTACTGGGCCGGAGGCCCCACGCCCTACAGTGCACTCCCACGAGTTTTGCAGGTGTGGCCGACGGGACCCGGATCGTGGTTGGGCTCATCCCCCACCTGGAGTACACGTGTCTGCCCAGGGCTCCCAACACACACGCCACCTGTTACTGTCGGCTCTGACGCGGTGGCGTGTCCTGCAGGACCCCAGAGCGGCGCCATCCAGATAAGACTCTGTGCAGTGGTGGAAGCGTTCGGGGTGTGTCCTGACCCCTGTGGTAGCCACTAGCCGCCCGTGCCTGTCGAGCACTTGAAACGTTGCTGGTGTGGATGAACTCAGTTTTCATTTAGTTTTAAGTAACTGAGGTTAATTTTTAAATTAAATAGCCACGTGTGGCGTGTTGCTGCTGCGTTGGACACCCCAGGCCCCGAATGTCCGAGTCACGTAAAACGGGGTTACGACAGGGCGGGACTACGCATAGGCACTGTGGTCGAGTTTCACGTCGCTGCAGCCTAGTACCGCCGCCCCCCCTCAGTAGACGTGGAAAACTGCGCGTTCTCCGCATCAGTGGCCGACCCCGTGTAATGCGACCCCCTGCGTTCCCATTTCTGTGTCAGGGCTGCTGCTTGGGTGAGTGTGCGGTGGGCTGCCACCCCCTCTGGGATCTGTGGGTTCCATGAGAGGAAGACTGGTGGGTGCCGGGAGTGTGAGGGCGCCACCACCCCTGTATCTGAGGTCTCTGACAGGAGCGCTCTCTGCCGCCCCCTCCTGCTGGTGTGACTTGGGTTGGATGTGTTTTTGAGTCGGGTCTGATTCACGGGGACGTGTGAGAACGGCCGCTTCGGAACACTGACCCGCTCGTCAGCCCCCGAGTCCACCCCCCTTGAAACACCAAGGTTCCCGCTTGCGTCCAGCACGCGTGTGACTCCGTGCTCTTTTCCCTTCACAGTTAAAGAAGCCGGAAGAGATTTCACCTACTTGATAGTGGTGCTTGTTGGAATCACCATTACAGGTCGGACGCACAGCAAGTGTAAGACCCCGAATACCTGTTTCACTTACCGATCGCCTCGCCCCTGCTTTACTTGATCTTCTTTTTCTCTGACTCTCAGGTGGCTTGTTTTACGTGATTTTCAAAGAACTTTTTTCTTCATCCAGTCCCAATAAGATATACGGGAAAGCCTTGGAAAAATGCAGATCCCATCCCGAGGTGAGTCCTCAAGGTGGAGTCACACGAACCCTGGCGATAGGAAATACGGGGAGTGGAGGAGGGGTGGGCAGAACTCACACGCCGGGTCTGAGACTGGTGGGGTCCGTACAGGAACACATAGCGTGTAAGTTGTTCGCGGTATTAGGTCTTCCTCCTGTGCCTGCCCTGCCCGAAGAGCACCCAGGGTCCACGTGGATAGACACCTCGCGAGAGGAGTGATACAAGAGGAAGTCGTTGTACAGCTACCACAGTAGTAAATGCTTCGCCTGTACCCGAGCCGCAAACAGCTACGGAGCTCTCAAGCGTCTCTCATGTTACGCATTATCCCTTTCTTCGGGACTGTCGCTGTGGGATGCGTCTCGTCTTTCTCGAGAAACCTGACCGGTGACCCCGGGTCACAGGAGCGGTTCTCCATGAGCACGCGCACGAGCCCGGGACTGAGGCGCCTGGCCCCCCGGCGCACCGTCCCCAGCGAACCCAGAGAAACCCCGGGCCGGCTCCGCTCAGCCCGTCTGCAGAGGGGGAAGCTGACACTTAAAGGAAATACGTACGAGCGGCAGCTTAGTTAAATGTAGGGAGGCCGCTCCGAAGAGGGGACAACTGACAACGTCACTCTTCAGCCCTTCGAGCAAAGCAGATACGCAGCGTGGACAGAGTGGCGTGCTACCGGAGGCATAACCTAATTCGCTGCCCGTCAGGGGTCTACGCATAGTAGTGGAACATTTCGTTTCGTCAGCATGTGTCCGGGTCCTGCTCTCTGCCAGGCACTGTGCCTGGGTGAGAAACAGAAGACCCTCATGTCGCAACGCCGGTGTGCTGGGGCCGTTCGGGGGTTTGAACAGTCGGTCCGCTCGTTCCGCCCACGGCTCACACAGTCTCCCGCAGCGCGCTGCCGCGGTCTGTGCGTGCACGCAGGGGTGCGGTGCTGCTGGCGCCAGCAAGGAATAAGGACGATTTTGTTGGTTTTGACTTGATAGCAATTTTTTTAAAGGTTCCAAGATGTTTGCATTTTAAATCCAATAAAAATTACAGTTCCGTGTCATTGTAAACTTTCCCATTAGGAATCATTAACTCACATCTGTGGACCTGTTTTAAGGTCATTATGACCTGGGTTTTTGTTGTCACTGTGAATAATGGCTTAAGAAATCAGCTTGTCTCTTAGCTGGTCGTAGTAGACCCCGTTTATTAGACCCCATCAGATAAGCCTCACTAAAAACGTTCAGGCGTTTAAGTATGTGAACCCTGGTTGGCTGTGCGTGTTTTTGGTGAGACGCGGGAACAGCTTCCCCGCGCCTGCGCTGTCCTGAAGCCACTGGCGGCGCTGGGAAGTCACCGGACCCGTCTCCGCACAGGAAACACTGGTTAGTTACGGGACGAGTCTTGTGCAACAACGTTTTCTTCCTTGGAGATGTCACTTTGAAAGGGCCCTGGGCTTCCTGGCTTCTCCTCCTAAGATAGATCCCTTGGTTTGTCAGAGAATGCTTTCCCCAGACCCTTGCGAAGAGCAGGCACCCACCGGAGCGCTGTCTTTCTCCCGCAGGTGGTGAGCGTCTTCGGGGAGCCCGTCAAGGGCTACGGGGAGGCGACCAGCCGGGGCCGCAGGCAGCACGTCAGGTAGGCACTGGCCGGCGCGGGGCGGGGGCGCGGGGCTGGTTTCCAAGTGCGAGGCATTCAGGCTGTGCCCTCCTCTCCTCGCCAGCTTCATCGAGTATGTGAGAGACGGGCTGAAACACGTGCGGGTGAAGTTCTACATCCAGGGCTCCGAGCCCGGGAAGCACGGGACGGTGCACTCGGAAGTGAAGGAGGTGCGTGGGGGATGGGGGGCGGCCGGTTCCGAGGGCGCGGCTGCGGGACGCGCCGGACGGAGAAATGACCCTGTGAAATACTCTTTTTTTTTTTTTTTTCCAGAACCCAGAGAGCGGCGAATACGAATTTCGATATATATTTGTGGAACTTGAAGCCTATCCTAAAAGAACTATCATCATCGAAGACAATCGATCCTGAGATCTCAAGAAGCCCGCGCGCCGCATTCCCAGATGCGTGCCACGCGGTGCGGACGCAGCCCTGGCCTTCGGCTCTCCTCCGGAGCCGATCCCGGGGAGGCAGGAAGGGGACGGCTGGGCCACGCGGACGTAGCCGGGCGGTGGTTGCGTTTAGACGGCGGGACTAGAGCTGCTCCTGCAGAGGGAAGAGTCATTCGGTGGCGCGTACTAGGTGGTCCCGGCGGGGTCTCTGCTCTCCTGAACGCCGTCCTTCACGAGGAGTTCTCATTAAAAAGTCTGCATCATGTAAGAGAGAAAGTAGTTCAGTGTTTTATGCTTTTTTAATGTTTTATAGCTACATAAAGTCTGTGGAATAAAACTGAAGCTAACACGTGAGAAGCAGTTTCCTCCTGTGTCCGTTGGTATCTGACTTGAGATGCGCATTCGAGAACAACTCCAGAACCGCAGGGGCCGGGCGCTGCCTGCGGCTCGGCAGACGACCGCCCGCCTGCAGAGGGGGTGTGCCCGCTGGGGGAGCTGTGCCCCGGGCTCTCTCCCCTGTCCCCTCCCTGCATCGGGGGCGCTGGCCGCCGTGGGGACGTGACCTCTCTGAGGTCTGGTGGGCCTGGGCCATGCCTTCACCTCGCCCAGCCTCGCAGGCGTGGCTGGTTGGGACAGCGAGTGAGGTGACAGGCGCGAGTGCCCGGACCACAGGAGGTCCCCTGGCGTGTCCCAGTCCTTCGGAGCCCACCCTGTGGCGCCCCTGCCAGAAGCAGCGTGGGCACGAGGGCAAGCCCCCAGGCCCCTGAAGGCCCCTGTGGCTACGCACACCGTTTTACCTGAAGAAGCTACAGGGCGTGTGCAGAAAAGTGGCCTTCGCTCACGTGAGTGTGATCACACACCTGTCTGACGGTCTCCGCGTGCCAGGACAGGTCCAGAACTGCCCTGCCCTGCGGGAGCTCCAGTGTTGAGGGACCCCCAAGGTGCTTCTCCTTCCCCCTCGGAACTCGGCGGGCGCTCGGAAGGGCTGTTGGGGACGCACGGGCCCCCAGGCGAGCAGCCTCCAGTATTCGGTCACCTCCCTGCTCAGTTCAGTCCATACTTCAGCTTCACAGCTTGTTCTAAACGTTCTTTAATTTTAATTATGAAAAACCCCAAACATTTACCAGATACCAAAGAGATGAGAGCAGACGCCCCGTCTCCCTGATGTAACCTGTTCCGTGTGGCTGGGCGGTTCTGCATGGACTCGGGCTCTGACCGGGTGCTCCTCTCCTTCGGGTGCCACGTCCCAGCTCAGGGCCCTGCTCCCTGACTGCCCGCCGTGGCGGCAGTTCCCGGGCTGGGGGGTCTGCTCGCCCCCCTCTGCTCTGCACACGCAGGACCCGCTCAAACCAGGGCTTCGCCGAGACCCGGCCTCCAAGCTTAAGAAAAAAACTGTGCACTCAGGGTCATGCACAGTGATGAAGACTAGACATATTGGAAATAAATGCCACAGTGTCCTACACGGTGGAAATGTCTGACTACAAAACTTCAGTGCTCTTTTCCAGAGACCGTCTAATGCACGTTACCCAGGTGCGCAGCATAAAAGTGGGTGCACGCGTGCACATTTTAACCCACCCCGCGGGTGCCCAAGCCTGGTGTCTAGTCAGCCCAGGCCCCACTGGAAAGAACCAGGGTCCTCTGGAGAAACGGGCGATTCTGGGCAGCAGGGTCCGAGGCCAGCCTAAAACATCTCCCGCCGAAACACAGGAAGGCGCTCCAAGAGTGATGGGGGCATGTCGGAAGGACACGGTGGCCGTCCTGCAGGGGCTCCCACCGGCCAAATCTTGGACAGTTGGCACGTCCCAGTGAATGGCAGTAAAGCACAACCCCCCGAATAAAACAGGGAACCCACACGGACGGAAATAAGGAAGTTGAAAGTTTCACGATGAGCAGGATTTTCACTTCTGTGAGGTTCTGGGGCAGACGGGTGATATTAGACACTCCCAAATTCAAGACATTCTACTAAATAGCTGGCCTGTGATGTTCAAAAGTTTCAAGGCCATAAAAGTCCATGAAAAATGCCTGAGACACGGTGCAAGACTGCAAGAAACTAAGGAGACACCAGAGCCAAACATAACACGGGATCCTGAACTGTCTCATTGGAACAGCAACGTTCAGGATCACTAGACGGTAGTGATGAGTCAGGTTCGCTTTCTGGTGCTGAAGGCCGTGTTGTGGCTGTGGGCTGTGTCGTGTGCGGCCCACAGCTCGCTCAGGCTGCCTTAACAAAGCGGCACAGACTGTGCGGCTTAAACAACAAAAATTTAAGTTCTCATAGTTCTTGAGGCTGGAAGTTTAAGATCAAGGTGTGGGTGGGGTTGGTTTCTTCTAGACCCTCTCTCCTTGGCTTGTAGACGGCCGTCTTCGCCCCGTGTCCTCGCAGGGTCTTCCTCGTGTGCGTCTGCGTCCTGATCTCTTCTCACACGGACACCAGTCTTAACAGGTTAGGGCCCCACGTAGGACCTCATTTCAACTTAGTGACCTCTTTCACTCAAGACCCTGCCTCCTAATACAGTCCCGTTCCGAGGTGCTGGGGCTCAGGGCCTCAACGCGTGAGCTCTGAGGGGGCGCACTTCAGCCCGTGAAAGTAGGAGGGAGGTCATGTCCGCGGGAGAGAGGCACTGAAGGACGTGAAGTCACGGGGCACCCTGTCGGCAGCTTATTCTCAGGTGACGTCAGAAAAGCGTTGTCCCACACGTACTTGCAGTTCATCTCTAAGTTAGAGATGGGCTCCAAAAAAAAAATTGTTAAAGAAAAACAGTCAGTGGAGCGGCATTTAAAACTTTGTTAATATGTAGGTGAATCTGCCAGGATGAACTGTTGTTATAAATGATGCCCCCGTGGTTTGGAACCTCAGCTCTGGATTTATTCCAGCTCCTTCTTCCCATCCCTTACCAAGATAAATGTTGCACTAAGCAAAGGATTTTTTGTACGGCCCATTATCAAATGTTGGCATGAATTCCTAATATTCTGAAAGAAAATGATCCTGGAAAGCGTAAAATACTTATAGCCTGTCGTTGGCTCTGCCTCGCTGGAGGAGAATTCTCACCTGTGCACAAATGCTCCCGAGCATTTGGAGACAGATGGTGGGGAGCAATAAAGAGGCTGAAAAATTAGACGTCAGGAGTCGGAGCGGGTGCTCAGCGGAGGGACACGCCACTCTCCAGGGCGAGCGAGCGTCTCTGTGGCCGTGAGATAAAGAACTTGAACCGGTATTGCAGTTTTAGTGCAGCAGACTCTGTCCATTACTCCTCTTAATGTTATATAAGTCTCCAGGCCGTCCTCTAAAGAGGCATTATTGCCCCGGGGATGGTGCCTGATGACACTCTAATGTCATCGTTCCACAGGGCCACACTGCACAGGTGTGTGATGCTGAAGCGTTATTAATCCCCTCACCTCTACAGGACAGTCGGCTGTGATGAAGACACCACATGTGCTTGTCCCTGTTGTGAGAAGTCCGTCCAAAACACTGTCACCTTCCTCACTCACCTCCGCTCCGGGAATGGCGGGCCGCCCTTGCGCTATGACCTGCTCCCTCCTACTTTCTCAGGGCCACCAGACCTCATCACGGCACTGTGGCCCTAATTTAAATACACCCTCAAGAGGTCCCACCCACATAGTCAGCTACCTTCGGGGCTTCCTTGATTCATTCAGTCGGCACTACTGAAAACAAGAACAGCTCCGGCCTTCATACACGGGCATAGCCACACACGCGCACACATGCACTGATTTCCCTGACTCGCTGACACCGATAAAAATCAGGCATGCCCTGTTACATTCACACTCCTTCTCGCTGCCTTTCACATTAACCTATCCTTCCTGAGCATTGTTACAGACTCACAGACCTTCAGAAATGACTCCTTCAGAAATGAGGGTGCCACCTTCTTTTTAATGCTGTATGTTGCACGGAATGATCGGACAGTCAGGGGCCCCTTCCTGGCTGGCTCCTTAGTCCCGCTCTGGCCGAGAACGCCACACGGGAGCACACCGCCTTCCTGAGCGCCCTGGCCGCGAGGGGCCGTGTTAGACACTTTCCCCTGGGCCCTGGGCGAGCCACAGCGAGGCTCCTGCTGCCTGCATGCAGCCTTTTCTTGTGATCACCCTGGAGATAAACATTTCTTTTCCAGGTCACGATTCTAAATTAAATTAACTTTAATCAGTTTGATTTACTTAATTAAGATAGAAATTTGGTTAGTTTGAGTAACTAAATATTTTTAATTTAAAATTGTTTTCTGTGTTTCTTTCAGTTCCTCTAAAACCTACACATAGCCCTGGCTGGTGTAGCTCAGTGGATTGAGCGTGGGCTGTGAACCAAAGTGTCGCAGGTTCGATTCCCAGCCAGGGCACATGCCTGGGTTGCATGCCATGACCCCCAGGAACTGCACACTGACGTTTCTCTCTCTCTCTCTTTCTCCCTCCCTTCCCTAAAAAATAAAATAAAATAAAATCTTTAAAAAACCTACGCATTTTAATTTTTAAACCGCTTTCCAACAATTATAACATACCTCCTTCTCTTTAACTTGAACAACCTCCGCTTTCCTCACTAACCGCCATCCCGCAGTGAGCGTATCGGCAGCCGCGTTCATGAAGCCGCCATCCTTGGGTTTGTGGGATTAAAACCTTAACCCAAAGCACGGGGGCCTACACTGAGGAATGTAAGGCACAGGCCAGTGGGGAAGGAGGGGTTTTTTTAGGAGAATACACTCTCCCCATTGTCCTTAAGTCCCGCACCTGGGGGCTGGCCTCTCTGGCCGCCATCACAGAAGGAGGCTCAAGGAACCTCCTGCTGGAGCTGCCATCCTGAGGACACCGCGGGCCCCCCACCCCAGTGAGGCCCACCCCGAGGCATCCTGTGCCTACGGGAAGTCAGCCTCTGGTCCCCAGAAAGCCCATGCTGAGGGTTTCACTGCTCGTGTGTTTTGACGGCAGGGGGCGGGGGGATGGCTTTGGAGCTTTGTCACTCCTTAGTAACGAGCCAACGTGCTCTGGCCGATGGGAGTGTTCGGGAAGATCTTTCTCACTCGCCTCGCTGCTCGCTAACTCTTGCCTGTCAGCAGGTGAGCTCTGACGCTGAGAAGAGCAGGAGGAATGCCCGCTCTGGACACGTGACCACGGGCAGGCTTGGAAGGGCAAGGTGCTTAGTTTCATTTACTTCCACTCTTGACTGCTCTTCTCCGAAGAAACCACCAGGGAGAGGAGACGGGATGACAGCCACACAGTGCTCCTCTCTCCACCAAACGCTTCACCTGAGCTGCTGTTAGCGAACTCTTGACTAAACGCAGTGATGACTTAGGTGCCACGGCACGTCACTAACAATGGACAGCGGTGTGGCGCTTCCTTAAAAGGCCTCGGAG